GCCGTGATTCTCACCTCCACTATTCCTTTCATCTTGACTTCATTCACTTCAGGTTTAATGTCCCAGGAGCCAGTGTCCACCCAGCCAAGCTTAGGACATGTGCCTACATGTCCAACAAAATAGATGGACAAAGGATCTGGCCTCCATCAGCTTTCCTGGTGGCGAGCAGCAGGGGTGGCTATCACCAGGAACTGTCCACCCACCAAGATGATGCACAATAGCAAATTGCTCCAACAGGACATGAAGCCACACAAAAAGGAGGGGGATTTGGATGTGAGACAGCCAAAAGAGGACACCTATCATCCACATATGCCTCCTTGAGCTCTCTGACACTCAGTGCCAATGTGTGACTACACCTGTGCACTTGAGGGAACACAAGGAGCTTTAAATTTCATCCAGCTCTCTAAGGAGACTGATAGAGGAAGAGAGAAGGTGGGCCTGAGGAGTCTCTCATGCTTTGGGGACAGATTCCTTTCCACTTTGCTTTTCATAATATTCTCACATGAGATATGGCCAGGAAGCAGGCCCTCAAGAATCTGGAGGTGGAGATTGGGATCCGATTTCTGGCTCTATCTGACTGTCAGTATTTTGTCACCACCCAGCAGAGAAAATATTCAGGACAGTATTCAGGACAAGGTGCCATTCAGTGCCTGGGTTACTGGATGCATGGAGAACTTCCCAGCATTTCATGGGTGAATGCCACTGACTGTGCTGGCCCAGGTTGGAAGTAGGTTTGGCCTTCCTCCAATTAATCAAAAGTTGACAGCATCAGGCTGTCCCAGATGCTGATGCCATTGTACCTCATACCTACTTGCGCTGGAAATCTTTCTGTCCCCATCACTGTTCTTCGCTCGAATTCCTCACTCCCTAACCAGTATCATTAGAAGACTACTGTAAAAGAAACTTTGGCATTTTGTACTCAACCCTTAAGAAATTAAACCTAAAATTCATATGGGAATGCAAAGGATCTAGAATAGCTAAAACAAGCTTGAAAAAGAACAACCAAGTTGGAGGGATAACACTGCCTGATTTCAAGACTTATTACAGCCACAGATAACAACATAATGTGGTATTTACTTAATGATAGACAAAGAAATCAATGGAATAGAATAGAGTCCAGAAGTAAACTCACACCTTTATGGACAATTGATTTGCAGCAAAGTTGCAAAAGTGAAAAAAAAATTAATCTCTTCAACAAATGGTCCTAGAAAATCCAAAATTGGATGCATATGAGCAAAATCAAACAGAACAAAATATAAATAAATTGGGCGGCGGCAGGGCCAGTGGGGTAGCCATGTCGCCACTGTCTGCGGCCTGCGCCACAGTGATCCTGGAGCAGCTGCTGAGACGCTGCTGCGGGGGCTTCCCGGAGCCAGGTCCCCACGAATGCGTGGCAGTCCGGGCGGCAGGCTCCAGCGGGCGGAGAAGCGATGGAGAATAATAAAGGGCTGGAGAGCTCGCAGGCAGACCTGAAGCTGGTGGCGCGCCCGCGCGCCAAGAGCAAGGTGTGGAAGTACTTCAGCTTCTACACCAACGCGGAGAGATGCACCCTGCAGTGGAAGAAGATCTACTGCCGTATCTGCATGGCCCAGCTCTCCTACTCCGGGAACACCTCCAACCTGTCCTACCACCTGGAGAAGAACCACCCCGAGGAATTCTGCAAGTTCGTCAGGAGCAACACAAGCAGATGCGCAAGGCCTTCACCATCGCCTTCTCCAAGCTCAAGCCCAAGGCGTCCCAGCCACCAGGGCCCAACGCGCTGGCCGCCAAGGCCACCCACGGCCACGACAGCAAGAAGCTGCAGGAGCTGACGGCCTCCGTGCTGGGCCTTGTCTGCGAGGGGCTGTACCCAGCCTCCATCGTGGACGAGCCCACCTTCAAGGTGCTGCTCAAGACGGCTGACCCCTGCTACTAGCTCCGCAGCCGCAAGTACATCTCCACCAAGGCCATCCCTGAGAAGAACGGCGCCGTCCGCGAGGCGGTCCTCAAGGAGCTAGCCGAGGCCACCTGGTGTGGCATCCCCACAGACATGTGGAGGAGCGAGAACCAGAACCTCACCTACGTGATGCTGGGCACCCACTTCCTGGGCGCGGGCGCCCCCGGCTGCCTCTTCTTGGGCTCGCGCTGCCTCAAGGCCTTCGACATGCCCGAGAAGAACACGGTGGAGAGCATCACTTGCGTGCTCTACGAGGTCTTCATCGACTGGGCCATCGGCGCCAAGGTGTTCGGCCCACTACCGATTACGGCAAGGACATCATGAAGGCCTGCTCACTGCTGGACTTTGTGGTGCACATGCCCTGCCTGGGCCAGGCCTTCCACGCCACCATCCAGCAAGCCTTCTGGCTCCCGAAGCCGGGCGCGCTGCCGGTGTGCTGCCGCAGGCTGGTGGAGTACTTCCAGCAGTCGGCCATGGCCATGTACATACTGTAGGAGAAGCAGAAGCAGCAGAACACGCCGCACTGCATGCTGGTCGGCAACCGCGTGTCCTGGTGGGGCAGCACGCTGGCCAAGCTGCAGCACCTCAAGGAGCAGCAGTTCGCCATCGCGGGCATGCTGGTGGAGGACAGCAACAGCCATCACCTCATGCTGGAGGCAGGCGAGTGGGCCACCACTGACGCGCTGGTGCAGCTCCTGCAGCCCTTCAAGCAGGTGGCAGAGATGCTGTCAGCCTCCCGGTACCCGACCATCAGCATGGTCAAGCCGCTGCTGCACATGCTCCTGAACACCACACTCAGCGTCAAGGATACGGACGCCAAGGAGTTCAGCATGGCCAAGGAGGTCATCGCCAAGGAGCTCTCCAAGACCTACCAGGAGGCCCCCGAGATCGACATGTTCCTCAACATGGCCACCTTCCTGGACCCGCGCTACAAGCGGCTGCCCTTCCTCTCTGCCTTCGAGCGGCAGCAGGTGGAGAACCGAGTGCTGGAGGAGGCCAAGGGCCTGCTGGACAAGATCAAGGACCGCGGCCAGGGTGGCTACCGCCCAGCGGAGAACAAGATCCTCCCAGCCGCAGCCCCCGAGGAGCCACCGGTGAAGAAGCTCATGCGTGCATCCACGCCGCCGCCCACCAGGGTCATCAACAGCATGCTGGCGGAGATCTTCTGCCAGATGGGCGGTGTGGAGGACCAGGAGGAGTGGCACGCGCAGGTGCTGGAGGAGCTCAGCAACTTCAAGTAGCAGAAGGTGCTGGGCCTCAACGAGGACCCTCTCAAGTGGTGGTCCGATCGCCTGGCCCTGTTCCCCCTGCTCCCCAAGGTGCTGCAGAAGTACTGGTGCTTGGCGGCCACGCGCGTGGCCATCTGAGCGTCTCTTTGGCTCCGCCGCCAACGTGGTTAGCGCCAAGAGGAACCGGCTGGCTGTCGCACAGTGGACAAGCAGGTGTTTCTGTATGAGAACTCCCATGGCAGGGCGGAGGCGGAGCCTGAGGACCAGGATGAGGGGGAGTGGGGCCTGGACCAGGAGCAGGTGGGGGACCGCGTCAGTGGCAGCTTCTTTGGCATCAGGGACAGCAGCTTTCTGTAGCCACGAACCCTCTCGTCTTACAGGTCACCCCCTCGGGAGCCCGCTGGATGCTTTGCTGTACATACCCAACCGGTTGGCTCGGTTTTGAACCTCAGAGACCATCCACCGTCTTTGACGCCTAGTTGGGAAGGCAGAAAAAGGAAAGAGATGCCAGAAAGAGAGGGCCGGGCGCAGTGGCTCACGCCTGTAATCCCAGCACTTTGGGAGGCCAAAGCGGGCGGATCACCCGAGGTCAGCAGTTGGAGACCAGAGAATCACTTGAACCCGGGAGGCGGAGGTTGCGGTGAGCCGGGATCGCTCCACTACACTCCAGCCTAGGCGACAAGAGCAAGACTCTGTCTCAAAAAGAAAAAAACATGGGAGAGGTGGCTTTGCAACTGTTTGCTTTCCTCACCTGTTCCCGGGTCCCTCCCGACTTCTGCTTGGGAATTGCAGCGCTACTCCTGGCTTGCCGCAGAGTCAGGAGGAGGGGTTCCTTCACAGACACTCAAGGCATCGCACACCATTTCCCTTTCAGCTCCTCCCTGCGAGGGTTTCTAAGATATGCGGGAACATCCTGGGAGGTGTGGAAGGAGCCTTTCCAAAGAGACTTCTGCCAGCTCCTCCGCATCAGCGCATTCATGTTTACATCCTCATGGAAGCCGGGCCTCTCCCTTCTGAGAAACTGGGAGGAGATCTTTTAGCCAAAATGCCCTTCTTGAAAAGAGATCTTTTTTTAACGTTCGGTTAAAGCCATCACAGATGATCACAAGAATGCAGTCACTTATCAGGAAGCAAACAAACAGCAAATAAATAAATAATAGGAGGTGTGGAACACCTTGTATGTTGCACCGGTTGCTGGCAGACAGTCTGTTCCTTCTCTGCCAAAACTCACCTTGCGGAGTTGGTCCTTGAAAACACGTCTGGCATGGTGGCTCACGCTGAGGTCAGGAGTTCGAGACCAGCCTGGCCGACACCGTGAAACGCCATCTCTACTAAAAAATACAAAAATTAGCTGGGCATGGTGGTGGGTGCCTGACATCCCAGCTACTCGGGAGGCTGAGGTGGAAGAATCGCTTGAACCTGGGAGGCGGAGGTTGCACTGAGCCAAGATTGCACCACTGCACTCCAGCCTGGGTGACAAGAGTGAAACTCTGTCTAAAAAAAAAAAAAACTGTCTGGCCGATCGGTCCTGAGGTTGTATCTTCTGTGTCTCAGCCCTAAGAGTCCGGTCCTCCCATGCAGCCAGGTTTTCCACACAGACAGCGGTGTTTCTGATTTTATTCCTGGAGCAGGCTGTTGAAGTTTCTCCTTTAAACTCACTCCCCTCCGGGAAATGGATTTTGAAATATTGCCACCTCAGAGTTGCTCTGTGGCTGGACTATTCTAAGTGGCTTTCACTTATTCAGGGAAAGACAGACATTTTCCAAGACTGACAACTACTGTTTAACCGGGGGGTGGGGTGGTGGGGGATACTTCCACGGAGTAACCGGCCTGTTACGCCACGAAGCTTCGTGTGTTGCTTGGATTCCACGGGCCGTGGGTTCTCTGCCTCTGTGACAACAAGCTGGGGCTGAGGAGGTCGGGGTGTAGGAGGGATGACCCCAGTCAGCTCCAGCCCGTGTTCTGCTGATACCCCAAGAGCCCTGGGCCTCAGAAGGTGAAGCAGGAAGTCCCTGCGTTTTCACCCCTAGCGTCTTCTCAGGGCCGCGGCATTTAATCCTGAAGTCATGGGCGGGTGTAAGCCTGCAGGAAGTTAAGTTCGGGGGAAACCCAGGTAACCTGGCTTGCTTGTTATGGGAAGCAGTTCCCCTGCGAACCTGCCGCCCTCTGCTCTGGGTATTCTCAGCAGAAGGGCACTGGAAGCTCACAGTGCGGCCGGCTTTGGGTTGGCTTCTCCTGTGCCCCGAAGCTGGACACAGCAGCGGGCAGCCGCCGCCCCCGTGGTGCGGGGGAGCTCTATTCCGTAGAATCACCAACCTCCCCTTCACATTTTTCAAATCATTCGCTTCTCATCGCTCACGGGAAGATGCTCGCTGCTTCGGCTCTGTCTTCATTTTCTTTTCTTTTCTTTTCTTTTCTTTTTTTTTTTTTTTTTTTTTTTTTGAGACGGAGTTTTCCCTCTTGTTACCCAGGCTGGAGTGCAATGGCACGATCTCGGCTCACCGCAACCTCCGCCTTCTGGGTTCAGGCAATTCTCTTGCCTCAGCCTCCCGAGTAGCTGGGATTACAGGCACGCACCCTGTAATCACCAAGCCCAGCTAATTTTTTTTGTATTTTTAGTAGAGAGGAGGTTTCACCTTGTTGACCAGGATGGTCTCGATCTCTTAACCTCGTGATCCACCCACCTCGGCCTCCCAAAGTGCTGGGATTACAGGCGTGAGCCACCAAGCCCGGCCCATTTTCATTTTTAAGCCATTGTTCCCTCCTGAACGGTCGCCTCTTATTTAATGCTCTAAACTTGGACTCTTTTTCAATACACCAGATGAATAAATCGGCTCCTAATCTAAAATATATATATATTAAAACCATCATATTTAAATTTTACATAGACCTGTAATGCATTTTCCGGTTAATTTTTCTTAGATAAGGGTCTAAAAACGTGCTCTATAAAAAACAAATTGATAAATTGGTCATCATCATAATTTAAAATTGCTGTTCTTCATAAAACACTGTGAAGAGAAAATATTTGCGAGTCGCAGTACATAAAAATTCAGAGTATTTAAGAACTCTCAAAACTCAGTAATAATAAAACAACAAATATATTAAAAATTGAGTGAAGATTTGAATATATGCTTAATTAAAGAAGACAGACAATTTGGGAGGCCGAGGCAGGTGGATCACCTGAGGTCAGGGATTCAGGACCAGCCTGGCCAACATGATGAAACCCCCTCTCTACTAAAATTATAAAAATTACCAGTAGAGTGGCGCACTCCTGTAATCTCAGCTCCTCAGGAGGCTGAGGCACAAGAGCCACTTGAACCCGGGAGGCAGAGGTTGCAGTGAGCTGAGATCACGCCATTGCACTCTCGCCTGGGTGACAGAGTAACAGAGTGAGACCTTGTCTCAAAAGAAAAAAAAAAGGAGACAGGCAGAAAAGATGCTCAAGATCAATCGTCATTTAGGAAATGCAAATCAAAACTATAATGAAATACCACTACACACCTACTATAATAGCTAAAAAATAACACATCTGACCATATCAAGTATTGAGGAGGATGTAGAAAGAACCAGAATTCTCATACACCATTTGTAGGAATACAAAAATGGTACAATCATTTTGGAAAAGTTAAGCAGTAGCTTAAAAATGTCAACATAGGATCCAGCCATTCCATTTCTATGTATTTACCCAGGAGAAATGGAAGCATATGTCAGTGCAAAGCCTTGTATGTGATATTCACAGCAGCTTTATTGTAATAGCCACAAACCAGAAACAACCCATATGTCCATCGGCAAGTGAATGGGTAAACAAATTGTGTTATAATGTACACTAGAATACTACTCAAACATAAAACGAACTATTGATACATGCTGTAACATGAATAATTCTCACAATAATTATGCTGAATGAAAAGAAACAGATAAAAAGAAATATTGTATGTTGCCATTTAGATACAATTCCTGAAAATGCAAACTTATAGATAGAGACGGAAGTTAGATCAATGTACTGGGCACCTTCGGGAAGGGCGCAGGTGACAAGGAGGGGATGAGAGAAGAGATTACAAAAGGCAGGAAGAAATTTTTGTGGATGACCTGTACAGTATCTTATGTGCCTATGATAAAACTTCCCAAATTGTACTCTAAGTATATGCAGCTTACTTTATTTCAATTATATATCAATAATTTTTAATTAAGGGGAAAAAATCAGAATATCATGAAACTTCCATAAGCTGGAAACAGCAGGTGCAAGGCTAAGCCATAGATCCTTTCTGAGTGTGCTCCTCCTGAAGCTCTCCTGACCCTAGAAGTAAGCACTACCTGTGTTTTGTGGTTGACATTTTCTCACTGTTTTTAAAAATATGTTTACTGGATGGGCACAGTGGCTCATGCCTGTAATCCCAGCACTTTGGGAGGCTGAGACGGGAGGATCACTTGAGGCCAGGAATTTAAGACCTGCCTGGCCAGCATGGTAAAATCCTGCCTCTACTAAAAATACAAAAATTAGCCAGGAATGGTGGTGTGTGTCTGTAATCCCATCTACTTGGGGACTCCAGCCTAGGCGACAGAGCGAGACTCCATCTTACATGCACACACACACATGCACTCACAGAAAGTTTACAATATAAGTAGCTTAACTTTGTCAGTTCTGATCTTTATATAAACAAAGTCATGTTCAACATATTCTTCTGTGGCTTGCTTCTCTTGTTCTACAGTTTGTTAGTGATATTCATGCATGCCAACGTGGGTAGTAGTAATCATAGTGCATTCATTCTTGCTGCTGTATAGTATTCTAAAACGTTCATTCTATTCCTAATGAACATTTATATTATTTCCAGTGTTTTACTGTTTAAACATTGTTTTTGTGAGTCCTTGTGAAAGAAGGACTCCTAGGTGTAAATCTAATGACAGAATTGCCCTGCCATGGCATATATGTGTATTCCTCTTTATTAAGTAATGCAAAATTATTTTCTAAGTACTTATATCAATTTTCCCTTCCACCAGCAGTATATAAGAGATCTGGTTGCTTTACATCCTCAAGACCACTTAATATGGTTGGTCTTTTTAAGACCAATCGTGGATGTGCAAAATGGCATCAAAAGGTGGTCTTTAATCTGCCTTTCCAAAGATCACCTCTTCGCATATTAGTCTTCCTTATCACATGTTCCAGTCCTGAAGGGCTTATGATTCAGGATTGCTCAGCAACATAAAACCTGGGAAAATGCATTAGCTGAATCCCTGCCACTTCTCCATCTTCCAGCTACCTCAAGCCCACACATGGGAATACACACACACACACAGCACATGTCTAGCATGCAGCACCACCTAATGTTGGTGGAATGAAAAACGATGCCTGTTCATAGGCCTCCCAATCCACAAGGCTCCAAAGGGAACAAAATAGGAAGCCTGCCTGTGGAAGCAGAGAAGAGCAGTGGGGTGTTGGTTGATCCCATCTCTTGCAAGTTAGATCTAACATACCACTCTGGGGAGAGGTGCAGGGGCACAGAAACACAGAACCTGGAGGAAGGACTCGTGCCTTGTTTTTGTATTTTATTTCTCTCGGCAATAATTCTCTGTTGTGTGCATTGGAACCTCACATGAGAACCTCTAACAGGATTAAGAGTGGAGGGGAAAATGATGCAAAAGAATGTCCATCTCACTCTGATTCACAGAGTGATTTGCACCCAGGACCAAGAACAGCGATTGTAGGATCCTTTACCCACCTAATCAACTTTCTCATCTCACTGCAATTTATTTGATCTCTGCCTCTGTTTTTCAGACAGAGACCAAAGACTGGCCTCCTCCAGAGGACGAAGAATGAGCTGGGCGGATGCTGAGTAAGTCCATTGAGAACCTGAGCTCAGCGACAATAATGCCAGGCAAAGCACTCACCATGACAGCCACGTTGGGCTGTTGTCATGATCAGCTGCATCGTTAGGTCCCTTCTACCTGCCTGTTTCCCTTCTCCCTCCTCAGCCACCAGTGGTGTACTCCTGGCAGCTGCCGCTTTGCAGAGTCTCCTTGCACTGAAATTAAGCCCATCAAACTGTCAGCCCCATTGCCGGGGCTGCTCTCCTGTCAGCCCATGTCATGACGACAGATGATAGAAATGCTGCTATTCAGGCTTCACAGGGAGCGTCTGTTTCCTTTTTTAAATAGCTTTAAAAAGAAGATTGAGAGAAGATACCTGCTTGACAGGCTGAGCAGGATGACTAAGACAGCAAATTCTTTTGCTGGCTCTTCTTGCCCGCTCAGTAGTGCTGGGTGACACTGCCTCTAGAACGTTAGGACTAGAGACAGCAGGAAGCCATCAGGGTGAAGGTAGCGGGCAAAGTTCCAAAGAGAACAGCCTCTAGAGAAGGGAAGGAGAAGGAAAGGGACCAACCGGGGTAACGTCTCCCCCTTTCAGGAGTCTGCCTCTTCATAAACACCACCCAGCACATTCTTTAGAAGTCCAGAGTCCTGGCCCTTGCTCAATCTTGCATTCTCAGAAGAGTAGATGGGTAGAGATCAACTTTAAGATCTTTGTCCCAAGGCAACTCCAAAGCTTCCAAAATGTTAGATCTTCTCTCCTTCAGCCCTTCCAAGTGCTTTGGCATTTATAGCATGGTGAGAGGTGGCAGAGCGGAAGCTAAAGGTTTTTTACCTCAAACACAAACAGCCTCCTCTTTGACAGCCTTATGATTCAGGATTGCTCAGCAACATAAAACCTGGGGGGAAAAACACATTCAGTTAATGCATTTTCCCTCAGGTTTTATGTTGCTGCTTCCCCATCTTCCAGCTCCCCCAAGCCCACACATGGGAACACACACACACACACACTATGGATGTGTAATTGCAACAACTTAATGGCCTGAGACACAGATTAAATATCCACACTCAGCATGTGAGCATAGAGATGGGAAGAATCTCAGCAGCTTTCTCTTCTTTTCCTCTCAATTTAGAGATGAAGACTGAAGCCCCGAGAAGTTAAGTGACTTTTCCAAAACTGCACAGCTTGATAGTGACAAATAAGGGAAAGGAATCCTAGAATCCTTCACTCCTTTTAGGGCTGAATTTGACCAAACAAGCAACAGAACTAATTGGGAATTCTTTCTCTGGAGGAACAACAGAACTCTGAAGCATCACAGAGAATCACTCCAGAGGAAAGGCAGATGAGAAAAGACAAGAGAGCACCCACTTTAAAAGCAGATGAAAAGAAATTTACACAGAGCAGCTTTACCTTACAGAAAAGCAGCTTAGAGCGAATGATTGAGGGAATTTTGCATATGGGCAATGCCAAGTATAGATCAGACTTCAGTGTTCAGTGATGCAGAGGATCCTAGAATTTCCTCAGCAGCTTGCTGCTGGGAGCTGACTTTCCCCATAAGAAGAGGCTTTGAGGAACAGCAACATCATGTGAAGGATAACATTAATGATATTTTCACTTACTGAGCACATATAATATACCATGCACTGTTCTAACAGCCTTATGTTTATAACTTCTTTAGCCCTCACAGCAATGCTGTGAGTAGTGATAATACTATCTTCTTCATAGTAACAGAGGAGTGACCCGAGACGTTGAAAGGTTATGAAGCCTTTTTTAAGTCGGGCAGCCAGCCCTAGGTGTTAGAGCCCATTTGAATGGAGGAGTGTGTCCCAAGTCATGCTTTTACCCCCGTTGCTGTACTGGATGAGGGTCAGGAGATGAGCTTACTCTGCCATGGTGAGGTAATTCATTCCAGTTGTTCTCAATGGCTTCCAGGGAGATGGGGTGATGGCCATTCTGGACCTGCTCTGCCACAGAATTGTGGCTTTGGACAAGTGTGCAGTAAAGGGTTGCCTCAGCAGACCTGCATTGCCCAAACCCCACACATTCTGAAGGTCTTCAGGACTGGCCCTTGACCAGCTCCTGGGAGATCATCTCTGAGCCCTTGTAATATCCTGCTTAATAAGAGTGTCTCTGTATACCTGGGGCCTTGGGCTGCACCAGATAGTTTATGCTAACAATGTGATTTATGGATGGACTCTTGGGCCACACTATATCAGTTTGACCTCTGGGGGACAAATGAGAGAGACACTAGGCACTTTATGGTTATGTGACTGCCCCCGACCTCCAAGAAAGCCCTGGACACCAAGGTTTTGGTGAAGTTCCCTGGTTGGTGAGTGTTGTCACACATTGTAGCTGGGCAAATTCGACACTGTCAACTGACTGCACAAAGATAGGACAACTAAAAGCCCAGACTTGTTTTTTTCTGCACTCTGCCCCGTGAGCACTTTTCTTGGGCTGATTTTAATCTGCATCCTTTCACTCCAGTAAACTGTAACTGGGAGTATAACTTTTTTCTGAGTTCTGTGAATCATTCTATTGAATCATCAACCCTAAGTGTGGATTTGACTATCTTGACAGCAAGGTAGTCAGTCCGCAGTAGCTTCTTACGTAGAATGAGAGTTGACCTACAGATGATTTCCAAGGGTTCTTCAACTCTGTCTTTAAGCGTATTTCACAATCCTCTGGGTTTTTTCACTAGTCTCATGTGTCTTATTGTGCAGTCCCATCTACAGTGGGGATGCTCCTGACGTAACCTCCAAACTAATCAACTTTCCCTGGCAGAGAAGGGGATGTGCTTGGGTCTCCAAAAAATGTGTTGCAAAGCCTGCAACACACAATAATGCCCCAATATCCATTATCGCCTCCTTCCCTGCTAATAGAACCCTGTTTGAACTGAGTACCGAGGTACCTGGAATAAAGAACAAATTTCCCAGCCTTCCTTGCAGCTAATGTGGCCATGTGAGTAAGTGCCGGCCAATAGTATGAAAGCAAACTTGTGATGTGGGACTCCTGGGAAATGCCTTGAAAGAAGAATGCTCTCCTTATCACCCCCTCCTTCTTGTGGTTGTGATGCAGGTGTACAGTGACATCTGGGTGGCCCATAAGGAGGAAACTATGTTTTAAGGATGGCAGAATAAGGAGATGGAAGAAGTCTGGCTCCTGGGGATTCTGCAAAGCCACCTGGCAGCTACAAACTGTCTCCTCTACATTTCTTTCCCCTGAAAAACAAACAGCATCCATCTTGTCTAAGCCACTGTTATTTTGGATTTTCTGCCACACAGCTGAGCCTTTCCTAACCAGTACAGACTGCATCTCCCACCTAATAAAAGATTAACAGGGCTCCCAATCTCAGCCCATCCATTGCCTGTACAAGAAAGCAATGATGATTCATTTAAAAGCACTCTATTCAGAATACTATCTTCTCCTATTTCCTACAAATCAAATTACCAAGAGACCAATTGGATTTTTCAAGTCCCTCAAAATGTTCTTTTTCGATGTTCTTGATATTAAATAGTAACAGAATTTAAATGGCATCAACAAAACACACAGACGTGACTGTGGTGACAAGTTACATAATTCTGTGAGAGAAAGAACCTCACAAGAACACAATGGATGCGACAGAGATAGGAAACAGAAAGTCGAATCTGCGGGATTTGCCTCTGGCTTTTACTGCCTGGCCATGGGCATCCACCTACTCATGTTCAGGGGCACCATCCCTGATCTTAGGGAGAGTAATATCCAAGCGGCTTGGGGAGAAGGGTGGCTGGTTAATGAACTGCATTTCTACCTCAGTATTCTCAATTCCTGAACACCCATTGCAGACCCTGAGCTTCTTGAACTCATTAGTGGAAGCTGCATCTCACTCATGCTTCATAGTCCTAGTGCCAAGCACAGAAACAGCTCCATGTCAGCAGGCCTAGCTCTGAGCCCCAGCTCTGTCAACCATGGATGCTACTCACCAGGGAACAAAACCTGAGCCCTAATTATGTGCCAGGTGCTGTGCAAAACACTCTACCTTCACCTTCTGTAACCTTCACAACAATCCTCTGAAGCATCTCCGTTACCATGGCAATTTACAGACGAAGCCAATGAGCCATGAAGAAGGTCAAGCCATTGCCCAAAGTCACTCAGCTCCTGAGTTCCAGAAGAAGGCTTTGAACCTAGTGGTCTGATTTCAGTCACTCAGCTCCTGAGTTCCAGAAGAAGGTTTCAAACCTAGTGCTCTGACTTCATGCATTCAACCCCACTGCACTGTAAAAGGAAAAGCATGACACAGATGTTGTTATTGCTGTTGTTACAGACTCGAAAGAAGGATGGAAACTAACAATGTAGGGAGGTTGTAGCTGGGCCTGGATCGGGATGAGGTTTGACATTGTATCTATCTTATCTCATGTATTCTGCACAGAGACTTATTCTCAATGTAAAAATAGGTAACTGAGGCTCAGGAAGGAAAACAAATCCCCCAAGACCTCTCAGCCTAGTGGTAGCATCTGGATTTCACGTCAGGTTTCTCTGATTTCAAAGCCCATGCTCTTTTCATTCCTCAGAGCTACCTCTCAGCCCACTGCAGAGAGAGTGACCATCAACTCCTCCTGGAGACTGAAATTTGAGGTTCTAAGAGGCAACCATTGCCATTGATAAAAAATTTAGTTGTATTTATTGAAATTATTTATAGCTGAATCCATAACATATGTGTATATAAAATATATACGTATTTGAGGCAATACAAAGATATCATACACAAGGGTTAGGAAATAATTATTGTAGATGGGAGAATAAAATGTCGCTAAGTAGTGTGGATAAAATCTTTTGGGTCTGGCACAGAAGTTGCTATGGGTCTGGGTAGGCAAGCAGGCTCACAAGACACAAATAAGTTTTCATCTACTCCCATGTTGCCTTAGCCTTATGGAAGGCCACAGAACCGGAGATACAGCAGGTGCAGCATTCCCAGCTCATGAGAAACCCAGCAGCTACCCAAGGATGCAGCTGCTTCTACCTTCTCACCCACATGGGACATGAACTGCTGGTGTGGATGAGAGACAAGGGGTGGGGGTCACCTGACACAGAGTAGCACAGAGCACCCCAATTTCCCACCAATCTTTCACACCATGCTGATCAGCAGGCCCCAGACCCACATGCCAACTCATAGCTCACTCAGTCCAGATGAAGTTTCCCAGGTCTGAGATTTCACAGACACAACATCCCTCATTTGTTTTAACTACCACTTGCACAGGAAAAAAAAAAAAAAAAAGTCTACCTCTCAAGTCACTCAGACCTGATGTCAACACTTTAGGCTTGGGTATCAAGCAAAGAGCCAAGAGCATTAAAGAAGCCAGGTTGGGTCAGATGTAGTGGCTCATGTCTGTAATCCCAGCACTTTGGGAGGCCAAGGTGGGAGAATCACTTGGGCCCAGGAATTTGAGATCAGCCTGGGCAACACACAGAGGCACTGTCTCTACAACAACAAAAAAAATAGCTGGATATTATGGCACTTGCCTGTAGTCCCAGCTACATAGGAGGCTTAGTGGGGAGGATCAGCCTTGGAGACTGAGGCTGCAGTTATTGATGACTGCACCACTACACTCCAGCCTGGGCAACACAGTGAGACTCTAACTCAAAAAAAAAAAAAAAAAGCAGCATCAGCCATGTTGCATAATGGATGCTCTACATACACTATGTGTTATGGTTTGAATGTTTGTCTCCTCCAAAACTCATGTTGAAATTTAACTGCCAGTATAAAAGTACTGGGAAGTGGGCTCTTTAAGAAGTGATTAGGCCATGAGGGTTCCACCCTCAGGGTGGGTTTAATGCCTTAATTAAAAGGCTTTTTAGAGTGGCTCTCTCTTTGCTCTCCTCTGCGATAAGACAAGGCAGCCAGAAAACCCTTGCCAGATGCCAGCACCTTGATGTTGAACTTCCCAGCCTCTAAAACTGTGAGAAAACAGATTTATATTTAATATAAATTACCCAGTCTCAGGTAGTCTGTTCTAGCAGCACAAACGGACTAGGACAATCAGTAAGAACTGGGCCAAAAGTAACAAAAAAACCTAACCAATGTTTCTTATACACTGGGGGCTTATTTTCTTATACACTCGGGAATGCAGTCCCGAGCTGGTGTAGCTTCCGAGCAGGTAAATCCCAATGGTGTGGACTTCCATCCATGCTTGTTGCCTTGCAGTTGCCATAGAGAGGCTACATCCCCTAGTCTCACATCCACATGACAGGCAGAAAGAAGAAGTCAGAGGAAAGGAAAAGGGGGCAGAACCTGTAACAGGAAAACAAAAGGTTTCCCCCAAATTCCCAGCAGATGTCCTCTCCCATCTCATCAGTCTGAGTTGTATTACAAGGCCACCAACAGCTGCGAAGAAGTCTGAAACAGCGATCATGCTTAGCTAGGCCCAGATCTTCCTCCAACAAAATGGGATTCTGTTCATTAAGAAGAAAGGGAGATTGTACATTGGCAAGTTGGATTGGTAATTTGCAATTTGTCACATATAACCACCTTGAAAAACTGTTTTCACATCCACCAGGCCCCACACAATTTGGGGTAGCCCACTCCATGTGCACAGGCTTCTCAGTGAACCAAGCTTTCTCCTTCCCCCAGCCCCAGCCTCTCCCTCCTGCAACAGGATACAGGAGACTAAACAAACACAGGTGCCTATCCTCAGCATACCCACTTGCCTTCCACTAGCCACCAGCCCTTTAGGAAAACCACCAAGGAATTTATTTTCCAGGCCTCATTTTGGAGCTTTGAAAAGGGCTTGATTTTTACAACTGGAATTTAAAAAGACTGCCCACGGGCACAGCGTTTTTCCAACAGAGTAGGAGCCAGGCACCATTCCCTCAGCAGGCCCTGTGTTTGCTTGGTTTTCTTATTTTGACAACTAGATGCTAGCACCTAAGTCATGCTGTAAAAATCTGTGGCTACCATGGCCTAGATATTTCTTAAGGTATCTTGGAGCTATACACAGAGTCTACACTGGTTAAAACTGTCTTCTTTCATATGTAGTGAGCTCCTTCACATGGGAGACAGCCAGGAAGAGGTTGGCCGGTCACTTCTTAAAGACAATAGAGTGCAGTGTATCAGAGAAATGCTGGACATTCCTTTGGGCTCCAAGAGTCAATGACTTGGATCTTTGGGGTTTGCTTTCATTTCCCTCTCTTAAAACAGCATCAAGCAAAAGTCATGGGGCTCCCAACAAAGGGAAAATAAGTCACAGGATTTGGAGACTGGGTTAAGGGAAGTTTGGTGGCAAACTCATCTTGAAGTTGGCTGGGACGAAATTTGAGATTGTTCTCATGGGCAGCAATGTGGAAGTTAAAAAAAAAAAAAAAACAAATTTCCTGAGAAGTGTCAACAACTTCACAGGAGATGAGATAGGTGGGTATTGGGGATCACCTCTCAAGGGCTCCCTAAACCACCTCAGATTTCAGAAATTATAAAGTGAAGGGACAGGAAAATATGATAACTATTGTTAATTTTAAATCTGACAAAATAAAGCTAACATGTCTTCCAGTGGGGAAATCTGGAAATGAGAAGAGAAAATGTTACTGAAGGAAAAAAAGGAAACAACCTTAGTGTAAAATTTTTAAAATGTTAACCCTAAGGTTTTAGAACCTAAAAGTTCTATTAAGAAGGCACAAAAGTTCCTAATGTGCTCTAAATCACATCAAAATTGCTTCTATACAGGTGGGTTTTAAGATAACAAGAGGAAATATTAACAGATAAATAAAATTTTCCTTTTTGCTACTGGGGTAATGTTTAGAAAATTACCCATCTGAAGCAGACTGATACTAAAAATGACCTCAATTCTTCACCACTCCACACACCCACATTCTTTATCATGTGACTTTGCAGCTCCTCCTATCAAGAGATAGAGTCTATTTCCCCACCCTGAGATCTGGGTGAGGATCACTGGCAAATACAATGTGGCAAAAGTGAACATGTGTGAAATCCAAGTCTGACCTCAGAGATCTTGCTCATTTCTGCTCTCTTTTGGAATGCTACCTCCACTCTGTTAACAAGGCTAGGCTAGCCTGGGAGCTAGTGAGAGAGCTCAGAGACAAGAGCTCATTTACCTCAGCCAAGGCCATCCTAGATCAACCTACAGCCAGCCAACCTTTAAACATGTGAGAAAAGCCAGCCAACATCATCCAAGCTCCCTGCCTGATCCACAGCTGGCCTCAGATGCATGAAGGAGATCATCCAGGAGCTAAAAACCCAGAGACTTGCATGCAATAAGAAATGCTTTTTGCACTTTGGGAGGCCGAGGCGGGTGGATCATGAGGTCAAGAGATCGAAACCATCCTGGTCAACATGGTGAAACCCTGTCTCTACTAAAAATACAAAAAATTAGCTGGGCATGGTGGCACATGCCTGTAATCTCAGCTACTCAGGAGGCTGAGGCAGGAGAATTGCCTGAACCCAGGAGGCAGAGGTGTGGTGAGCCGAGATCGCACCATTGCACTCCAGCCTGGGTAATGAGCGAAACTCCATCTCAAAAAAAAAAAAAAAGAAATGCTTTTTGTTTTAAGCCAGGGTAAGCAAACTTTTGATATCAAGGACCAAATAGTAAATATTTTAGACTTACTAAATATTTGATATGGTCTCTGTTGTATGTCTTATTTTGTTTTTTTATGATTTAAACATGTAAAACCATTCTCAGCCTGTGGGTGGTACAAAAGCATGCTGCAGGTCATAGTTCACCACTCTCTGATTAAGCCACTGAGCTCTGAGGCAGTTTGTTACATAGCAGAAGCTAACTAATACACCACATGGTTTGTATTCGCCCTTATATCTTGTTCTCATGCAAACAGAAAACTACGCCATGAGAGTCATTTCCTCCAGGAGAAAAGGTTGACTGCTGCCAGAAATCAAGAGGTCATTGATCAATGTTGTCTCTCAAAGCTGATTTTCCTGGTTCCTTTTATAAAATAATAACCTGAAAGCCAGTCTTTGGGATGAAAAAAAGATTTCTAAATTTCAGAAACTAATGGCCAAGATCCAGGGACTCCAGAGGAAGATACTTGTATATATTCACAAAATGTTAAATGGGACCAGTCTCTTTTCAGTGGAAATAATTTCCAGAGCAGACTGGGCTGTCATCCTACAGTAGAGACCAGCCAGGATCCAGTGAGTCAGCCCCTTCCTCTACAACCATGAGGTCATAGAAGCCCAGCCCCCTAAACATCTAGCTCTCATTTTGTGGAGATATAAAGAAATGGGGGAGGAAATAAGAAAGACTGGGCATGGATCTGAGTCATGCCTGTAGAGAATGAATAGACTATCTAAATTACTGGATTGGACTGAGTTTACCGGACTGGACTAAATTTAGTTTTTCCTTGCTACTCCATGGGTTTGGAGACTTAGAGGATGATAGATCACCTGTAGGAAACAATAGAGCTGTTACAGCTTCAATGCTGTCCCCCGAGAAGATGCACCACCCACCTTATTTGGAAATAAGGTATTTGCAGATGCTAAGATGAGTTATTAGGGTCATGATGGCTGTGTTACAAAAAGAGAAGATGAAAATGACACCCAGGAGAAGAATGCCATGTGTCAACAGAGGCAGAGATTAGAGAAATGTGGTCATAAACCAAGAAAGGCCAAGACTGTGGGCAACCCCAGAAGCTAAGAGGAAAGTGTGAAACAGACTCTTTCCCAGTGACTTCAGGAGAGCATGGTCCCACTGTCACCTTGATTTCTGACTTCTGGCCTCCATAACTGCAAGACAATGAATGTCTGTTCTAGGCCACCCAGTTTGCCAGCATTTGTTACAGCAGCACTAGGAAACCAACACAAAGTCCATTTCTTCAAAAGAGATTATTTACATCTTCTCAGCCGGGCATGGGGGCTCACACCTGTAATCCCAGCACTTTGGGAGGTGGAGGCAGGTGGATCGCCTGAGGTCAGGAGTTTGAGACCAGCCTGGCCAGCATGGTGAAACCCCGTCTAGAGATACAAAAATTAGCCAGGTGTGGTGGCAGGCACCTGTAATCCCAGCTACTTGGGAGGCTGAAACAGGAGAATCACTTGATCCCGGGAGGTGGAGTTTGCAGTGAGCCGAGATCGTGCCATCGCACTCCAGCCTGGGCAACAGAGCAAGACTCCATCTCAAAAAAAATTTTTTTAAGAGATTATTTACATCTTCTAATTAATAAAAATGATTCTTTCAACACTGCTTTTCTGAAGTTCCACTTCTGAAATTTAAAGTGTTCCTTGAGGGTCCCAGAATGCTGGCTGGCAAAGATGGAGCCACTACTCTCCCCAGAAAGAGGTTCACACTCACACTCAGAGACTGTAGGGAGGGCATATTCCAGTGGCTCTGAAGACCTCTGGTTGATTTTGGATTTGGTTTAGAAGGGAACAGATGATAAAAGGAACATTTTCAGAAATGGCCTGCCTTTTCAAGGTCCTAACTTTAATGTACACTGAGGTCATCTGGAACAAGTGTTGGGAATAGAGACTTCTGAACCTCATCCTCAGAGATTCTTGTTCACTTTGTCCAGAGAAGGAAATTCAAGAATCTGTATCTTTAGCAAGCATCATTTAGTGATTCTGGTAAAGCCATTTAAAAAACCCTACCCCAGAAGAAGCCATGGAGGGATCCCAAAATTCAAAGTAGCAGAGAGCTCCCATTCATTCCCTGCCCACTTGGGAAGCTGTCCCAGAGTGGGGACTGGCTAAGAAGGAAAAGCTTGGACCTATGGTGCTCCTCACCTGCTTCCTTCCTTGGGAGGAAGATGGGGGCTGCTGGGGCAGCCCTTCCTGGTGCTCTCTCCCTTCACAAATGGGTACCCGGGTCGGTACTGGGACAGTGGCACTCCCTAGTGGCCACGTTTCGTTTTTCAGGTACTTAGCAACCGGCACCAGGCCAGCAGCTGAATGGATGGTGCTTCATCAATAACAGGGCAATGGAGCAACTTATTGTGATCTTGACTCATATGGTGATAAATGTGAAATCGGAACACAGAAGTGGAACATCACAGGAAATGGCAACTGCATTTTATGGGTCTTAAATTTCAGACCAGAAGAGAAAATCACTACTGGGCTCTGAAAAGCTGAAGTCAGGGTCATATTTTCTCAAAACCTTTTCAGAAGAAATCATGAAAAAAACTGTAGAAGACAGCGTTGAGGTGGGGTGGGGGGAGGTCAGGGGAGTCAAGCCATTTGGAAAAGCTCTTTAGAAAGAAAATCTCTGTGTAGCTTTAAGAGGGGAAAATTGAGCAGTGTAAATCAAAAGGAATTTTTTAATGCATTTTATTTTATAAAGCAGCCAATATCTATTACAAATACATTGTATTTTCTCCTCCTTCCTACCCTATTCTGCTGATTAAATTACAAAATAGTAAAATAATAGACCTCAACATTCAGTCTCTGCATCCAATCAGTTCCTATTGTTTACAAGCATCTGCGTATTTGTAATGAAATAATTTCATGATTTTACTGAACATCTACTATGTGGCAGGCTCGTCACATATCTTATCTCTAATCATCTGAACATCCCCACAGGGTAGCTATTACTAATCACATTTTTCAGGTGAACAACTGAAGTCCCGAGTGATTGAATAAACTCACTACTACTAAGTTGAGCTGGGATTAGGACTCATACTCTCTCAGTGCCAGAAGTCAAGAACCATCTTCTCTAATACTCAACTCTCTGAAGAAAGTGGAACATGTCTTACAATCTTATTTTCCACGACAGAGGTACTGCCAGGAATGATGAGGAACATTAAAAGGGTATGAGGTTATCTTACTGGGGTAATAAAAATGTTCTAAAACTAGACTGTGGTTTAGCTGGGTGTGGTGGTGCCTGCCTGTAACCCCAGCTACATGGGAGGCTGAGGCAGGAGAATGGCTTGAACCCAGGAGGCAGAAGTTGCAGTGAGCCGAGATTGTGCCATTGCACTCCAGCCTGGGCAACAAGAGTGAAACTCCATCTCAAAAACAAAGGTTAAAAAAAGTTAAAAAACACTTTGGGAGGCCGAGGCGGGTGGATCACGAGGTCAAGAGATCGAGACCATCCTGGTCAACATGGTGAAACCCCGTCTCTACTAAAAATACAAAAAATTAGCTGGGCACGGTGGCGCGTGCCTGTAATCCCAGCTACTCTGGAGGCTGAGGCAGGAGAATTGCCTGAACCCAGGAGGTGGAGGTTGCGGTGAGCCGAGATCACGTCATTGCACTCCAGCCTGGGTAACAAGAGTGAAACTCCGTCTCAAAAAAAAAAACTGGATTGTGGTAATGCCTGTACAATTCAATAAAGTTACCAGAAATCCTTGAGTTATACACTTAAAATGGGTAAAGTTTATGATATGTAAAGCATACCTTACAAAAGAAAATAAAAATACAATGTAAGAAATAACATATTTAAATAAAAGGAATAAGAACTCTAGTGAGATATAAGTCTAAGGGAGACAGATTCGGGTAGATTTGTTTCCTCAGAAGCTTGGGAATGAAATGAAGGATAGATCTGATGGAGAGGACGCACCCAGGACAGGCCCAGGCTGTATGATGGGCAGACTGGAGACCCCTCAGGCTCTCACTGTGGCTGAATATTCCTTCCTCAGTGATAACCACTTTCCCATCAGCATTGATAGTGGCTCCTTATTTCTCCCCTTCTATCAAAATTTATTTGCAGACTTTTTATTTATACTAATGTGTAAAGGACTGATTAGTGTTTAAATCGCTCCCCTTTTAAAAGAATTACATCATTTCCAAACTCCAAATATTCAACCATCCCCTTCCTGATGAGGAACACAAAGAATATGTCACTTGGATGTCCAAGTTACTTCAAAATCAACAAGCAAACTGAAACTCATTATTACCACATCGTGCCCTGCCCTGCGAGCCAGGTTGTCACACATTCTAAGATCACTAACTCTGTTTGCCACTCATGTTTCTCTGGCTCCTGCCCCATCTGCTAACATAGGCCTCAGCCAACTCATAACATACCCCAATTTGAAGTCCTTCCAGGGAACCCCAGAGACGATGTCCTATCAGCTCTCATTGTCTGAGGCTGACACACAGTATTCACCATTTTTACCTCTTCCACTGCTCCAACCCCTTCCAGTGGACACACTACAGTTTTGAGACATAAGCACCATTTTGACTAAGACCACCAGCCCACTGTGCGTCTTCCTTTGCTGGCCCACGTTCCACTTCTGATGGCTCCTTCCATGGCTACTGGACATGGCTTCCCACCCAAGGACCTCTGTTGGGACAGGGGAGACACTGGAGGCCAGAACTGAGTGCTAGTGTACTCTGAAGTGGGGGAGTTGCTGCACTCTATCGAGAAAATCCCAAATCAGTTCTGCCTTCCTCTCTGCCACCCATGGAAGTAAATCCAGAAATGTTATCAGAACATCTTCTCCACTGAGACCCCACCAAACAAATTGCCTTCCTGTAATAAATGAAAATATCACCAAAAGATCATTGTTAATCTTGATGGACAAACCATCTGAGCACTTTGCAGTGTGCTACCCTGAGCAAAGTTACACTGGAGACAGCTTTTATAGCTCAACCTGCGGTGACCTGTCCCACTCCAGTGAAGCCTTAAATTACCCCAGCTGCCAGAGGCCAGAATTAATCCCACTTCGAGTTTGGTGTCCTGAGCACAGAGCAGGTATCAGAAGAGGGCCGAATGTTGCAAAGCTGCTTAGTAGTGGGATGTTGTTTAAGAAATACTGTAATCAACTGGCAAAGGTACAATTAACAGACAATTGTGCCAATGAATTTTTTAAAATTGGTCTGTATTTGCAGGCTGGGAAGCTATACTCCTTGTTGATCTGGTTGGATTTGGGGGGTTTTGCCTTTTTTTTTCTTCCCCTGATTTTAATCTCCTGGGAAACACTCTGAGTCTTGCTTTTTTGATATATTATTCTCTAGCAGCACTTTAAAAAATCAGCCATGCTTTTTTTTCTCAGTTGAAAGAAGCAACAAATCTGTTTATTTGATTTATAAATTATAAATTATAGAATTATAAAGTTATAGAATCCTGGGATTCTAAAAATCTAGGCTATCAGCCCTTCCTGTGATCCCGCTGCTGGTGACTAGGATCCTTGGAAGCATTTACTCACTTTCATGCCCCTGTTGGACTTAGTATCCAGCTCCTAAACAAACTTTCATCATGGGGATTTCCAGGCCCCCCATTTTCCTCTCTATGAATTGCTCCTTTCTGTGTGGACAGGATTTGCCATGTATTTTCCTAAACAGCTTTTATGTTTTTGTTACAACTACTACTCTGAGAAGGAGAGTGAATGAGGTCTTTGGAATTACCTACCATGACTAAGGAAATGGGAAATACACATATATGATCCCCATGTAGTGTTATTTTGCCAAGATCCCATCCATCAGGACACCTAGATAAAACAATTCAGTGTGTTCCCCTGTCCTGATATTCACAGCCTGGCAACCCGTGCGGTCTGAGTCTGGGCCCAGACAGCACTAGACACACAGCTGACCAGGGAGACCTTCTCCAGCAGGTAAGATGCCCCGAGCGCTTCTTGAGTCACAGACAGATAAGCACCTTGCTGTGGTCCTCATCCTCACAGAAGGTTAAAGTCTAGCTGGGGAAATTAAATCAACAGACAGGAACCTATAGGATAACAGGGAAGTGACTGCTAAGCTATAGGGGGCTGATTCTTAGGAAAGCAGGAGTGTGGAGAAGGAGAAAGGTGGGTGAAAGGACATGAGACTGAAGCTGGGTCTTGAATAAGGAGGGTTAAATGAGGCAGAGGAAAGAAAGGAAAGCAAGGAGGGTGCACAGAGAAAGAAAAGGCACAGAGGAAGCTGGTGTCGGTGGGAGAGGTACTGACTCAGTCAGGGCCTGGGAAAGAAGAGGAGAGTGCACTCAACCTGGGGTGAGCGCAGGGTTTAATAAAGGTGCTGTCTGCAGGAGTGACAGCAGACAGCAGTCTGTAACGAAACCACACCCACATGAGATGGCTAGCAATAGTCAGAAGCTGTTGTCCCTCTTAAGCCTAAAGAGACAATGGGAAGAGTGACTACCAGGACTCAGAGAGGGCAGGTCTCTGGAGAGGGCCCCTGAGAGCCCCTGTGGCCTTTGTAGAGGGCAGCAGCCACTCCACAGAGAGCCTGCAGGAAGGAAGCCAAGGAAAGGCATAAGCTGACCAATTGCCACCTGCCACCATTCTCCAGTCTCCCGCTAGTGCCTTGCACCAGCTAAAACCAAGTAGATAGCAGAAGACCTGCTGATGCTTCTAAAGGTATGAGGTATAGACCCAGGAGGAGAATGGCCCAGCGTGGACCTGGAGGAGCCAATGGAAGGGACCCAGCACAGATGAAATTAACCAGAGCCAGGGCACCATTTAAATGCCATTGCAAACCTGGTTGCACATGAGGGGCATTTCAGGGAAATGAAGCAAACGGGACCCCTGAACAGGTAAGCTTTAATCAGTCTTTTCATCTCCTAGTTCTGTGCTCAGGTATTAGAGGGAGCAAGCCCTTCAAATGCCAAACACATTCCAAACATCAACCCTGTTTGAGTTTCCCTCCATCACTTACCTGAAATTATCATTACCCAGTTCCTTTTTTTGGTAGATCATCTGTTTCCAGGAGGATGGAATTTCCTAAGGACCTCTGCACTGAATGCAACCCTGCTGGGGTCTCCACCTGCTGAAAACTAGACAATGATTCCTCATAGATGAAAACTACACAAGCCAGACATAACATGTGCTAAAACCCACCTCCAGTCTACAGAGGAGGATTGGAGGAGCTGAGCAAGAAATGGGAGGAAGAGGCTGGGTGCAGTGGCATATGCCTGTAAACTCAGCACTTTAGGAGACTGAGGCAGGTGAATCACGAGATCAGGAGTTCAAGACCAGCCTGGCCAACATGGTGAAATCCCATCTCTACTAAAAATACAAAAACTGGGCATGGTGGTGGGTGCCTGTAATCCCAGATACTCAGGAGGCTGGGGCAGGAGAATCACTTTGGGCCCAGGGGCAGAGTCACAGTGAGCCAAGATCACGCCACTGCACTCCAACCTGGGCGACAGAGTGAAAGTCCATCTCAATAAATAATACGGAATGGGAGGAAGAGTGTCACATGTGCTGCCCTGATGCTGGTCCCAACAGGTAACCACAAAGTGTGAGAGAGAGAGCTCTATGTGACTCCAGGGAGACTTCTCTGCCCGTCCTTAATGGAGAGCTGGAGAAAGCCACAGATCTGACAGTCAGTTGCTAC